GCTCTTCCATTCAAAGATCCTTTGTTTATAGTACGTATGGAGACTTATCAGGGTGAGAAATTGTATAGATAGTCAGACTAATAATTGAAGGGAGGGTAGGGGGGTATTTAGTGGAACCTACAATATGCTCAAGCATCTGTGGCATTCGCTTACAGTATATGTCTGCATGTTCTCATTGTGCATTTTATAAACAATCTCTGTCGGTCTGTTCAAATGATGTTGTTGTCTTGGCTGAATGTGTTTCTGTGGCCCTGAAAGAGAGATGCTATCCAAGGCTTGTGCACGGTCACTTGTTTGCCACTCAAATGACTGTGGTTCACCCTTCCCCCATCATATCACTGTAGACTGTCTTTAAATGCAGAAGCCTGCAAAACTCGGCAGACATCTTCCCACACACACAGGCATCCTGAGGCTTTTGACACATTTTGCATGGACTTCTGTTGTGTTGTTTTGCTTATAGAAATTGCTGGCCGGGTGTAAAGAAAACCTATGGGAAGAAAAAAAAAATGTCAAGACTTCCTTTCATATTCTGCACAGGGCTCCTCTTCTGACCTTTATACCGGCTTTAGAAACATGCTAGTGCTAATCCTGCCCACTGTAAGCTGATGTGAGAAGAAGGAAGATGAATTCCAACTGTGTGTTTTCAAACAGGGCTCTGTGGACAAATACCTAAAATGCCTTAAATTCTAATATAATCCTACTTCCTCTCCCTCCCGGCTACCATCCTGTCAGTTCCTGTGTTTACAGAGCCCATCCCAACCATAGACTCAAAATGCCACGCTGGTGTAATTTACAAAATAATCCCAGGCCTGTTTGTGGGTAATTAGAGGCAGGTCTCAGGTGATTCCTCTGGCTCTGCCTGTGATTCTGCCAATTAAAGAGCAATGTCACACACAGCCTCAGGTGTCCTGAGCTCTCATGTCCGATTCCACTCTCTCAAAGCTTCCTGAAGAATATGGGTCTTATGTTTTTTGGGTATGATTTAATTTGCAAGTATAGATTTTTTTGTAGTTATTACTTTCTTTGTGATGTATATTCATAAAATAATATAAAATTAGATCAGCTTTAATTGAACCCTTTTTCTTTGCTCATGTGACAGGCAAAATGTATATTTTAATTAATATTAACGCTTTCAATTGCTTGGTAATTGTAAATGCTCTCAAATTAGCTAATGATATTACGTTGTGAAATATGTTTATTTTTTGTTATCAATAAACAATAATGCATTTTTTAATTACACACAATTACTACTTTTTTTTAAATTAAAATATTTACTGGTGGTAAAAATTAAAAGTCATAAGATATTCATCCATCCTTTGTTATGTTGTGTTCACACTAACCGCGAAGCATTGTGTGACTCGCTCTAGATTTCGAATGGTATACATTTCGTCTTGATCTTTTTTTTTTTATCACTTTTTTAAAACTAATTTTTAACAACCGTTTTCTTTTATCTTTGCCATGATGACAGTACATATTTTACTATCTTTTTTCAAGACACAAACATTTAGCTTAAAGTGCAATTTAAAGTGTTTATTAGGCAGGTTAAGGTAATTAGGCAAGTCATTGTATAACAGTAGTTTGTTCTGCAAACAATATTAAACAATATTGATCTTAAAATAGTTTTAAAATACTTAAATATGCTTTTATTCTTGCCAAAATGAAACAAAAGACTTTCTCCTGAAGGAAAATTATTATAGGAAATACTGCGAAAAACTCCTTGCTCTGATAAAAATCATTTGGGAAATATTTATTCAAAATAATGATAATTTAATGAAATAAAAATAAGTTTGACTTTAACTGTATATCGTTTTGAATAATCGTGATTACAGTTATTGCCAAAATAATCATGATTATGATTTTCCCCATAATTGAGAAGCCGTACTAAATATTTGAAATCATTAACAAAATTAAAAATATAGTCCAGTGTTTTCCAAACATTTTTTGTCAAATGTGAGCTGAGATGAGTATATCAGAACAAAATCAGCATTAACAAACATGTTGAAGCCTCCATAACAAAGCTAATGTGTTTACAAGCAGAAGAAAATTGGGGTGGTAGGAAAAAAATTAATGTGGGCCAAATTGATTTAACCTAAACGGCTTCTATCCTTAACGTGATATAAAGAGCACAGTTTAAGGCATTACGTGACCTACATACTGTCAGTTTATTAAGTGGTGTAAGGATTGTGCATCTAAACGCACTCTCTGACACGTTCTCAAGGAAACTGCACATTCTGGAGTCACTCCCCTGGTCTCAAGGGAATCCCTCAGCCCTCCAAGCCTGTTGGTAATCATTTTGTTTTGATGTTTTAATGATGCAATCTGTGGTTAACGGGCTCACCAGTGTTGGGTTGGGAGGCAGGGGGCTTCTTTGCTCTCCAGACACAGGGGCTCGGGGCCACTAAATCCCAGCCTGGAGAACAACTCAATTCCCAGCAACACTCTGCTTTACGGCAGCCAGGGCCGCTGCGTTCCTCCTATGGAATCAAATCCTCACAGAGGGGTAGAATTCCTCGAGTGGTTAGAGAATTCCAGAATAATTTATTTGGAATTTAGGAAAATCGTCATGTTGTTTCAAGTCTCCAGGGGAAACTAAACTCCCCTCACTAGGAGTTTTTACAGTCAGAAACACATGGCAAACATCACTATTTTTATATTATTTTATATTGCTACATTACTGGTAGAAACAATTTATGTTAGGGAATACAGCGATGTGAATTATTATTATTATTATTTTTATTAAAAGCTGATGAAAAATCCGAAAGACTTAAACAGTAGAGCATGGCACTGTCAATGCCAGAGTCATTGGTTCAGTTTCCAAGGAATGCGATGAATGTAATTTTTGTTTAAACTATTGAAATTAGCATATTGTATTCCTAACCCACAGAAGATTGTTAATAGTTACATTTAAGAAACAACAACATACAAATAAAAATCCTTCAGCCTTTACATTTATTTTTTTCTATTGGATTGCGACCCCTCGGGTGTTAAGATTAGATTAAAACACACCAATAGCGTCAGCTGCAACAGATTGCAACATGATTTTACAGGCCATGTGAAATTTTCTGACAACCTTTGTATCACATTAATACATAAAATATAAGATATTTGAGGTTAATATTAAATTATTTAAAAAATATATATGGTTATTAGTCTGTTGCATTTTTGTGTTGTCGTTATGCTCATGTTTATATATGCCTATAGTTGTGTTTGTGCAACGTTTATATTTTTATAACCACCTTCGAGAAAAATGGGGGTCTAGAGTCACTGAAATTGTTATTTTGAGGATCACGGGCTGAAAAGTTTGGGAAACCCTGAATTAGTAGATAAAGTTGTAATTTAACTAGGATTAGTATAATCTTTTTTGCAAAGGGCAAAAGCTTTGTAGCAGGATTTACATGAAACTGAGGCTGCATAACACAAATACAAATGAATTAATAAACATAAGTAAATTGAAAGAATGTTTTGATTACGGCTGCACAATATATCATTTGAGCATTGATATTGCAATGTGTTTGCCAAAAAACAAAACAGACTAGATTTGTAGAGACACAAATTGAACCACAATAAAGTGAAACTTTTATCATCTTCATGTGTTTTTAAGGTCTGTGACTATGTGAGCATTTAAAGAGAGTCTAAAGCATTTTAGTTGTGAATAAAGAATTTTATTCATTCATTTTCTTTTCAGCTTAGTTCCTTTATTAATCCGGGATCACCACAGCTGAATGAACCGCCAACTTATCCAGCACATGTTTTACGCAGCGGATGTCCTTCCAGTCGCAACCCAACACTGGGAAACACATACACACATTCAAACACATACACTACAGACAATTTAGCCTACCCAATTAACCTGTACCACATGTCTTTTGACTTGTGGGGAAAACGGGAAGACCCAGAGGAAACCCACTCAAACATGGGGAGAACATGCAAACTCCCCACAGAGACGCCAACTGAACCAGCCGAGGCTCGAACGAGCCATTATTGAATAATTTATATAGTGAAGCCTATGCAGTGTTATTTTACATTTGATTATTCAACTTCTGTTACTCTCTCCAAACCATAAAGCATATTTTATTCAACTGTGACATTTGCTCCATTGTGTTTATTTATGACTGTAGTGTTTATCATATGTATATAATAAAATACATGAAAATATATATTTACATTTCACTCCCATACAAAATTATCCCAATCTATTTAAAGCAGGAGTGCCCAAACTTTTTCTTATTTTTTTTATATATTTCGCAAAGAAAATTAGGGCAGTGTCAAATTTTTCCAATATTGTTCAGCCCAATTTTTTATTAGAATTGTGAATGGTTTTCAAATGAGTTTATTAAAACCTTTGAAATGACGCTAATAAAAGCTAATAACATCAATAATTGACAGAGTTGCATTTCAGATCTTTCAGCACACAAGACCCTCCCCTTTCCAGCACACACATGCTCCTCCCCTAATTCACACTGTTTACACCAGGGAGCTCAGGCTTTGAGGAGTGGCTCTCTTCTGGACTCTTACTCAAACACAACAGCTTTCATGTCCACTATTTCTCCTTTTTCCCTGAATTTCTTCTCATTAAATACAAAGCTTTTAGAGATGCATTCTCATATGCATGGTTTGCTTCAAATTGAGTAATGTGAAATTAATTTTTTGTTATGTATGGCTCCATTGTGGTTCAGTGTATTTGTGTGGGAAAATATGCACTCTAGTGTTATGTGTCTTCTTAAGAGTTTATAAATCTGTGTGTGTGTGTGAAGAGCTATCGTGGCAGCTGGCTCTTATTTACATTCCAGCCGATCATTTCAGTAGCTGCTAAAGTTTCTACTCTGATGCCCTGATGCAGCTCACTGGAAACAAAACAATACAAAAAATTGTCCACAAGTACAGGTCTGCTCCTGCCCTAAGTCAATCTCTATTACCATTCACGTCAGTGGCCATATTGAGTTTTGGTATTTTAGCCTTACAGTTATGTTAATGCAGATTGTCATATTTGTGTTGTGCAGGCCGCGCTCAGTGGGAGGTCATGGGAGGATGCACTGGGGACCCAGCTGTTCCCAGAGCCGAGCTCAGGAGGGACGTGGCCGTCATCGACTATCCACCGTCATCCAGCCACTCAGACAGAGCGCTGGAGAGGTGGTGGACCTCACAGTGGACGAGGACGGTGAGGAGACCTTTTCTGTTCATTTACTCTTAGGGATATTCCATGTACAGAAAGAAAATGGATACAGTGTCTACCAAATTTAAAATAATTTTAAACCAATCATTGTAATATACACGTATATACTGTTTTGTAGAAATTTCTAAATATTACAAGCTAAAAGCATTTATTAAAAATTTTTCATTAACTTTTAACTAACTAAGCTAACTTCATTTACTAAATCACAATATTATATTGTGCATTATGAAAAATTGTACATGGTAAAAATAACAACAAACAGCATTGTTATTTAATGTTTTCAAAAAAAAAACTAAATGTATACAACAACAATGTAGTAATAATGGTAAAAAAACATTTCCTCATGTTTTTTTTTAGGTTTTACATTCAGTCAAGAACAAAATGATGCTCAAACACAAACTAAATTTGTGAATTACAAAAAAAAAGTCAGAGTGCCTTGGTGTCCCACCAGAGACAATATACAGCCACATCACACTGCTGCAAGTGTGATATAGCATTTATACAACCGTTTGACAGCATAATAATGCAAATAAAAAAGAAAATCAAAAACAGAGTCTAAAAATTATTTTGTATTAGGAACTACTTCTGCGATTCATTCACATCTGGAGCTGACGTCAGAACAGCAGAAGTCATTACTAATTCACCAACGTCATTTTGGATTTAGTACTTGAATGATTCTCTAGCGTAATATCTAAAGTGATGACAAAACAGGTGATTTTGCTCACATTTTAAGATTATAAGACAGAACAGCGTAAAATGCCATCAGTCTAGGGACATTTTCCTGTATTTCTCTGTTGCAATTGGGATATCACAATAATTTACCCCGAAAAAAGTTTAATAGCAGCAAGTGGAGGATATAGGTATAAGTTATAAAGTGCAATTATAGAAAAACTGTGGTGGTATTTACAGAGTGATGTACTGAACAATATATAAAGGTTGTATTACAATGACTCTGTAATCTATGTACAGGTTGCTATTAATAATCAGAAGTATGCAGATAGATATGAACATAATTACAAATGTATATGTACAATTCAAAATGAATTGAATAAATCAGTACAAAGTAATGCGATGAATACGTGCAATTTTTAAATGTACAAATAAATAGTGCACTGATTATGGAAAGTATGAGTGATATATGCGGTCTCTGTCATCATCTTGTGGCGACGCGTCAACCATCTTGGCTCTGCTCAGTATGACAGGTTAATGGATGCCAACGTGCTGTATTTCCCGAAATATAAATATTTTTAAAAAGGCACTATCTTCATAAATAAACTGCATAGTTGCAAAATAAGCTACTACATCTCAATGATCTCTTTCATGCTTGTAATATTAACACATATTACATGTGCACGACCTTACATCTTTGACAGAAATGTGTTTTTTTGTAGTTTTATGGAGATGATAATAGTTTCAAAATGTTTAGATTTAAAAAAAAAACTTTTATAACTATAAATTATGTTGTGTTTTTCCTTCGAAGCACTACTGCTGTGTAAATGAATGGCTAAATTGTATAAAATGTTCAGTTATGCGAGCATTAAGTGATGTGTTAAAATGGACTTATGCACTATGTAAAAGTAATTTTCTGTTTTAGGTTCTTATAACTTAAATTGAAAAGCTTGAGATGTAGAGGAGCAAGAGTGTATGGATCCATGTTATTTTTTTGATGATCACTGAAAACCATCCATGGGAGAGAACCACAGTTTGGCAACATAATCAAGGGAGTTGAAGGGAGAAAGCAAAGCAACAGGACCTTGACCAGAATTTAATATCCCCTTATTTCAGAACATAAAAAGGCATTTGGAATTTGCTTCTGGTCATGACCTCCTCTCATGCTTAAATTCAGATGCTTGATATACATGAGATGTAACCACGACTTTAAAACAACGAAAATAAGTTGCATAACAAGTTAAAACAATCAGGCCGTCAACTTTTGCTGAGCCCTGCAATGGGAGGATATTGTTTTGTGCATGTCAGCCGTTATTTGAAATGTAACAGGGTTGATGAGTATTTGATGAGCGTCTCGGTGCTGTAGTGATGGTCTTCAGGTCTGCAACATAAAGGAGAGAATGAGCCTTAGATCACCCGGTTCAACACTGCGTGGGTTTGGGAAATATTAGATGTCACATCTAATCTACTCATCTTTCACTGTGAGCGGTCCTCCCTCTCTCTTTTGAGCTGTATCTCTGTGTGTGAGGGGGAGGAGGGATGAATCTGGTAGATTCGGTTAGTGTTGTTTAGCACGGTGGATTGCAGCTCGCCTGTGTTCAGGCCCCGTTAATAATGATTAATCTATATCTTTTCAGCATGCACAGCAGCATAAATAGCCTGTGCAGCTGCACGGCATTCTCTCACAGCCACAGACCGACTGACAGCAGAAGCATCCCTTTTATTGTGTGTAATCGAGTTTAATTCTGATTTCATTTGCAGGCACCGTAATGAAGTCTGTCTGTTATGCAATCAGGCGCTGGCCCCAAAGAGTCAGAGAGAACTACTATAAGAACCAATTAAACTGCCATTCTGGATAAGGAATTAAAATCTGTGTAGTGTTATCTCATTAATCTGTGATAGGCTCCCAAATCCCAAGGTTTGTCAAAGGAAAACTCATTTCCATTGTTTCGTTTGATTTGCTGTCATAAAGTGTCTCTTTGTTTGTGTCTCTTTCTCTGGGGGTCTGTAGCTGGTGGGGTGGTAAAAGACCAGGCTGAGATATGATTGCATTTGCATTTCTTTTGACGGAGTGAGAAATTAATTTGCGAGGAAAAAGCAGATGGATTACTCGCAATGGAATGTTAATGAGTAGCTGTCCTCATGGGCCACTTCGTGAATAAAGTCTGAGAGTGTGAAAATGCACATGTTTGATGACACCGACGTTCTCGAGATGGAGGAAATCATCTGTTGCCATTTACTACAAACGCATTTATTTAAGAATAGTAGTAACTCTTTTTAAAACCCTTTTATTGTTTTATTAAATTTATGATTTACTAAAACTGAGGGCTACCGCAGCATTGTACAATGCTAGAATTTAGTTTAATACTAATTAGGACTTTTATATATTTAAAATAAAAACAAACTGTTACTGTTTCCACCAAAATATTAAGCAGCATAACTGTCTTCAACATTGATAATATTTTAAAATGTTTCTTGAGCGCCACCAAATCAGTATATTATAAAAGAATCTTGTGATATTGGAGACTATAGTAATAGCTGCTGAAATTTCTATTTTGCCATCACTATTATACAAAATTTAAATAGGCTATTTTTATGGAAATGCATATTCACAGTATTTCTGTACATTATACACTGTACACAAGTCAGTACAGCCTTCGAGAGACTTATTTAAAAAAAAGTATCTTATGATCCCTAAATTATAAGCAGTAGTGTACATCAAGAAGTCAGATTAGATAACACTGTCAGTATGCTATTAATTTACTTTGATGCCAACAAATGTGTATTTGCAATTATATGTTTAACAATGACCAATATTGCTACGTTAAAAACTAATTATGCTGAATAATTACCAACGTGGCACTAACAGATGGTTTTACATGGTGTCCGTGGGGTCTTAAAAAGTATTAAAAGTTGATTAATCAATGTAGAGAAATGTAAGGGTCTTAAAGTATTAAAAAGTCTTAAATGCTATTTTGCAAGATATTACATGTTATATCATTTTCGATTATGCGATGCATGGTTGTATGATAAAGTTTGCCAAAATCTGCGAATTTCAGGATGCTGTGTAGTTTATGAAATCAATGAAATTCTGCTAGATTTGACATCATGCTGCTTTGTTTACTGCAGTAATCAAGGCAACGCCATTATTTCTGCAGTTCTACAAGCGCCAACCTACTAAATTAGCTAGATTCAATAGATTTTTATTCAGTATATAAACAATGTTTTAGTTTTGGATTAGTTTCTTACATTAATATTTAAATATACTTTTAGTTAATCTCACCAGTTTTCCGGTTAAAACCTAAAGTGGTTATAAGGTCTTAATGTATGGAAAGAGTCTTAAAAGGTATTAAATTTCAGTCTATGATTCCTGTATGTACTCTGTTTCAATACAAGTCAGAAATTTTACCATGTGTGTGTTTTTGTATGCTCATCCATCTCTGCAGATCTTTCAGTCGTGCCAACCACTTCTGACAGCACACACCCACAGCCAGTCAGTTCTTCCTCCTCTTCCTCCTCCCGTAATGCCTGTACCTCAGCATCGCCACAGGAGGGTCCTGGTCCCTCCAGTAGCTGCTCAGCAGCCGCCCCTGATAGCACATTGGCTGCTCAGAGCCACGGTGGAGTGCCAAGATCCGGCACCACCAATACCACTGCCACCGAAGGTAACCTATCTAGACGCTGCTACAATAATATTATTTTATAAAAGATGTGCATGTATTTGCATAACTGAGCGTAATTCTCTTCTCCAATCAGATGAGAGCAGAAGAAGCTTGTTGGGTGAAAATGGAGGTGTTGCGATGCCTAGGTTACCCTCTTGTTGCCCTCAGCACTCTCCGTGCAGTGGGCCGTCTTCAGGGCACCTCTCTATGGGGCATACCCACTCAGGGTGCATGCAGAGTGGGGCGACGCAGCAGTCCGGCCCCCCACAACCTGGCTCCCAGCACTCCCACACCCACTCGCACCACTTCCACCATCACCACCACACCGCACCAGTCCCTTCTTCCCTAGCCTACCAAGAGTCCAGCTGCCCTCTGGAGAGGCCCACTGCCATGCCTGCTCCCTGTGGAGGGGTGAGCAACCAGTACCATGACCAGGTACTTTCATATCTGCACAACATTTTCTTGCTTATTTTCTACCCAGTCCGTTGGGTAAATGTGGTTCCTTAAGGGGCATGAAACCCTCCGTAACGGGCAGGGTGTTTTCACACCTCTAGTTTGAAAAAAAGTCAGGAAAGTGGTTGAGTCCAGCTTTGTTTAGGTGGGAATGTCGAGTGGCAAAAGAGGAAAGGGTTTGCAAGAAAAGGGGAATTTCATCACTTGCTGGTGTGAAAATCAGCATGTGCAACACAAACATAGATGCAGGGGAGATAGACAATGATTTGGAGAGCAGCATTTACAGCGGATCTGAGAGCTGTGTTTAAGTAGAGGATTTTCAGTCTATAACATTGTAGTGATATTAACGTACTGTAAACCTAATAACTAAATCATTTTAACTAAGGTATGCCTTTAAAAACTGAAAGAGTTCTGCTGGCGATGCAAACTAAATTTGCCATCTGAATAAACATAAACAAAGAGCATTGATACATTTACCAAATCTGTAGAGACAGGACAATCAACACCCACTGGAACCGCGTCTCAGAAGAAGATGAGTGGCAAATCTGGATTTCACCAATTCTACATTCTAAAAGCTGTCTGTTAAAAATGTTCCCTACAAACATATTTTGCCACATGTTAGCAGACCACTGTAATCAAACGGCTCTCTGAACACTGTAAAAGGTAAAAAGAGTCTCTGAAGCTATATCATGCATATTAATCAAGTTGCATCTCATTCACAATAGAGCACGCTGATTGGTTTGAACCAAGTCTTTTTTAATGAATTAATTGACAGATGTGTTGAAAACTCAATTATGTCACTTTGTACTGGCTGGTACAGACAGCCAATCACCACGCTGGAATGATCTCATTGTTGTCACTAAAATTTACTTTTAAACAGGAAGAAATAATTTGCTTAAAATAACTCAGAAAGAACCCATTTGAAATCTTTTGCAAAATATATGGATGTCCTAATAGTGTGGGACACATATATGACTGTCAACAACTCAAAAAATGTCTTTTGTGACCCTTTAAAGGAACACTCCACCTTTTTTGAGGCTCTTTAGTCTCTTTAGTAAACACTTGACTTGAACCATTTTTGAATCCATTTAGCCAATTTCTTATTTTGGCGGGGTATTCTTTGTAGCTTAGCTGAGCTTAGTATAATAAATAAAATTGGATTTGACCATTAGCATTGACTATTAGAGTTTTGATAATTTTCTTATTTAAAGCTTGAGACTTGTGTAGTTACAATATGTAATAAAACCCAAAGGAAAATTAAGAATTCAGAGGACACCTTAAAACCATGAAGCAGTCCCAAAATTGCCTTGATGTAATAATCACTTGTGTAAGGGACTGTTCTTGCTTATATTCATTGTCTATATAAGGAAAAAGGCATCTTATTATCTCTTATGATCTCCATCTGTACAAATTATGGCAATCTGCACTTTGAACTTGATGTTGCGATACCAATGTATGTTTGCAATAGCATGTTATTAATTGTTTCTTTTGTTTCGTTTTATTTTATATCATTTTTGGATCACAAATTGAAAAAAAAAACTTTTGCTTTTTAAATTGAGAGGGAAAAATCGCAAATAATATGTTGACTGCAAAACATAATGCCTGTATTGTTGACAGCACCATCTGTTTTCCATTTGACATATGGTTTGCATTTAATGGCATATGTTTTTGTTTGGAATTAGTTAAGATTATGCCTTCTTGAAATACTAAATCACGCTTCATGTTTTAGCGATGAAAAGGAAAATCCAAAAGCACCTATATGAAAAAAAATATTTTTCTGGAGCTGAGCTTTTCCACTGGGGATTTTGTTTGAGGCCATCCTCTCAGTGTTGTTGAATAATTCACACTGAACTAATTGTCTTGGCTGCTGAATTCTATTATTTACCAGAATAAAGAATTGCTGCTTGTGCGTGTGTATTTTAAAGTAAGTTGTGTGTGTGCGTGTGTGTCAAAAAAAAGAAAGTTTGTGTATAGAATGTGTTGTTTTTGTCATGTGCCATGATTGTAAGTGCATTTAGCATGAGAAGATAGTGTGTCTGTGCTGAATGCATCCAGCAGAAGACTGTGGCCTTTGATGATAGGGGCAATGAGCAGTAATCGCCGTTAGCTAGTCATCAGATATGCGGAGACAGGAGACGCTAGTGAATCGAGGTGATGTCAGGCATGTTTTATACATCAAAGTGCGTAAAGGATTAGATTTGGAGGGAATACTCTTATTTCAGGAGGGATTTAATACTGATTGGTTTTTATGCATGTAATTTCTTTGGGTAGTATCAGTTAAAAAAAAACCATGGACATTATTTCATGAGATATGCAGCTATTACAGTTGTGCGGCTCAATTGCTTGTAATGTTTTTTATCTGCCTTAAAATGTACAGAGTATTCATTCATTCATTTTCTTGTCGGCTTAGTCCCTTTATTAATCTGGGGTCGCTACACTGGAATGAACCGCCAACTTATCCAGCACGCTTTCACGCAGCGGATGCCTTTCCAGCCGCAACCCATCTCTGGGAAACGTTCACACACACATTCACATACACACACTCATACACTACGGACAATTTAGCCTACCCAATTCACCTGTACCGCATGTCTTTGGACTGTGGGGGAAACCGGAGTACCTGGAGGAAACCCTCGCGAATGCAGGGAGAACATGCAAACTCCACACTGAAATGCCAACTAAGCCGAGGATCAAACCTGCGACCCAGCAATCTTCTTGCTGTGAGGCAACAGCACTACCTACTGCGCCACTGTTTCGCCTTGTACACAGTATTAAGAATGCATTTAAGGACATAAATTCTGCAGACTTTGCATGCTTAAAAGGCATTCTCAGAGATCTCAGTCATCCTGGAATTTATGAATTTAATTTTTTTAACCTGACCTACAGAAATATTGTGCTACTGCAGTTATAAACAGAGGCTAAGCTTGAATGATTCTCTTCAACTACTACGATCACGTTCTTACCCCTGCAATCAAACATTTTTCGCACAAAAATAATTTACTCTTTTGAATTTATTCTGTTGAACACAAAGGAAGATTAACATATAACTTCTATAATATGTTTTGTTCGTATTAAGGGGTTAAATTATAAATTTTTCCCCAGAATTCTTCAGAATAAGGTTTTGTTCAACAGAAGTAAGAAATTCTTGAGTGTAAGTCAGTGGTGAGAACTTTTGGGCTAGCTTTCCCTTTAAGTAAATGGTAAACAAGTAAAATTGTGTAATGATGTATATGATTGCTGCACTCTGTCCATTTGATTGGTTGACAGCTATCATGCATTGATCTCTAGTCTGTCAGCATTACAACAGCTAAAACTGCTGAATAGAGTCGATATTTCCTTCGGTGTGGCATGCATCAATCTCCTGCAAAGAAACATGACATTGTGACACAATGGAGCATTAAGTAATATTTAATATTTTTAATATTTAATATTGCATCTTTAGTAATATTATTAACAATAATATAAAGAATAAAATTAATTTGTAACATATTCTGTAATAAAATTTGCTCATTTAAGTCCATAGCAGGAAGGGTGCCTGTACATTTTTCACCCTTTTATTGTTTTTATTATATATATATATATATATATATATATATATATATATATATATATATATATATATATATATATATATATATATATATATATTTATTTATTTATTTATATATATATATACATATATATATATATATATATTTATTTATTTATTTATTTATTTATTTATTTATATTTATTATTTATATTTATTGTTTATTATTTATATTTATATATATATATATATATATATCTTAGCTGCCCAAAGCAACACTCTGACAAACATTTGCACATATTTCAAGTATATGTGTTTGTTTGAATATATTATTTTTATCACTTTATTAACTGCTGGTGTCCTTCTTCCTGCTTCTTTCTTTGTCTCAGCAGACTCTGCCGGTGGATCTCAGTAGCAGTGCAGTGCGTAGCAGTGGATCCAGCAGCACAGGGTTTCACGGCACATCTGCCTTTGACCCCTGCTGTCCAGGCTCTGCCTCCCGGCCTCCCGTTTACGTTTCCCAGGCTGCACCTGGACCTAGCCAGCAAACTGTGGCCGACTCATTCAGTCCAACCATAGTGGCCCAGCCTCAGCCCCAACCTCCTCAGCTCTCTTCCTGCAGGCACTACATGCATCCCACATGTAAGAACTAATATTCACCCTAATGTTGATAATCCAATATTAATAATCAATGCCCCTAATGACCCTATAGGTTTTTTTATTCACAGTTTTTTTTTCTAACTGAACCTGTTCTAGACCTGTTTAATGACATGTTTGACTCACACTCAATCACATGCAGAAAGCATGTTAAAGTGCTTCAATAGTAATGTCATTGCTCTGTGTCTTGTGGCTATGGAAGTAGCATTTTATGTAAATATTTTATTTGAAAACCACATCTTAAATTTTTTACTTCATTTTTAATTACATTTTTATTCTGCAATATTCTAATAAACTTGTATTAAAATGTTCTTACTATTTTCAAAATAATAGTTTGTAAAATTCCTTTTTTATTAATTATTGCAGCATTTTAATATATATAGTGTGCTGTATTGTGTTGTCATATGATACTACATTCACATAATATAAATAGGCAATAATATAGAGCTGATGAATAAATAATCTAATGTATTTACTGAAAACAGCAGAACAATAACACAACCTGGATCTGGTGAAAGTTAAAACCATTAGACGCAATTTATTGGATGCTCTTAAAAAGAAGGCAGTAATATAATATATATAATATATAAGGCATATAATTTGATTTGCGACGATTCCTTTGTGTTGTGTTGTGTGAGAATGCGAAGACTCTGAGATGCTGGCGCCTGTGCTTTATGGTAATTAGATGAAACACCTGATGTTTAATGTGTTAAGTGCTGCAGGTAGTGTGCCCAGCAGTCTCACTTAATTGCCGATTCTGCTCACAATAGCGTTGTGTGGAATATAAATGAGCGTGGCAGGGCTCCCTGGTGGGCCTGAATTTAGTGGAGTAATTGCCACTCACAGCTCACTGGAGCACCTGTTTGCACATTCTCCTGTTCGCTCTCTCTATATTTATCTCCTGTATCTCTCGGTCATTCGTTTTCTTTGTTTTCCCTTTACTTCCTCATTCCCTCCTGTCTGTCAAATCCTTAACAAACAACATACAACTCATCCGCTCCAGGGTAATCTCACTCACCTGCTCAGCATCCAGAACATGTGTTTACATTCTCGCCACAATTACATATCATGACCATTTATATGTGAAGGGACGCGAAAAGGAAAGTTTCATACTCACTTGAAGTTAAACCAAAAATTTGTGAAGACACCAAAGTATTTCTTACAAATTATATACAGTTTATTCGCTATAGTTTAGAAAATTGTAATAAAGCATGACAAGAACGATTGAACTGGGTCAGAACTGATCTATCTTGATCATGACAGTCAGATAACTTTGATTGATAGGCATAGTATGTAATGGAAAAAACAATCAGCCAAAAATTATTCAGAAAACTATTGGTCTAATAATATTTATGCAAATATAAATACTTTATTGGGAGAGCCTGTAGCCTTCTAGGCTCCTTTGAACCAGGTTTGTGTTTATTTATCTACAGTTTGTAGAAAAGCGTCTATATATTGTACTACGAATGAATTAAAGAATGTGAAGTACAAGAAAATCCATATTTATTAAATGTGCACATGCAGTTCTTACACACAAGAGCAAGCAATCATTGTTGATAAGTAGGCCCACACGGAATCTGCGCGTGCAGAATTCCGCAGAATTCTGCAGATTTCTGGAGATTTTTAGCCCATTATTAATTCTATTTATTTACTTGAGTAAATGTGTAAATATGAATTTATTCAGTTTTTATTCAGTAATTTATTATTTTTTATTTAATATATTAAGTTTTTAGTTATGATACTCTGCTGGATACTCCCAAAATATTTCCGCAGAAATCCGCAGATTTTTAGCAAAATTCTCCGCAGAAAATGTCCGCAGATTCCATCTGGCCCTGTAGATAAGTCACATGTGTTTAAGTACCATGCTTCACATTCACAGTCATTAGCATTCGTAAACACTTTTAATTGTATGGGTTATCATGTATGGATGAGAACACTTGCCTTAAAAATCATGTGATTATGTTTTTATTTTGTCTCTGCTAAAAGATCGAGGGGAATTTTTTTTTTTTTTTACAAATACAGAACTGGAGTGACTAGATGAAGTCCATCCAACAAGTATTGTTTAGGTCACTCACTGCAGGAGGAATTACAAACAAAAGAAAAATTCTTAATTAAAGCAGGTCACCAATGCAGTTAAATTCATTGGACCTGAGGAGAGAACTGTCCAAGAAAGAAAAAGGTTTAAAGTATTAACTAAAAACATTCAGGACACGGGGCCTATATGGATTGCCTAAAGCATACTGTGATGCTCTTAAATGCTTTTTATGTGTAGTGTTGCGATTCTACCTTTTGATTCTCTGTGTAAGCATGCATAGAGATGTGTAAGTACAAGTACATCTCCACAGCATAAAAACTGCTCCTACGCACTACACACACATCTGTGCATACGTACTGTTGATACTGTAGATGAGGGCTCTTAACTTCAGAATTTTCCCAGACTCGCTGCAGTAGCTCTTTCAGTTCCTGATGGTTTTTAGTCCACTATATAAAAAACTTTTATGGGTAAAATGTCACCTTTTACTTTGTGTCAACGTTACTTGCATAAATGAACTATAGTGTCATGTTCACACTAGTTAAGAAATGTCAAAAAGTTAAGAAATGTCAAAAAGTTAAATATGGAAATCTAAAACAATTTTGGCTTGACTGTAAATTCTTTTTCTCCTCCAGATGGCTCTTTGTCCCGCCCGTTGCACCACCAGTCCTCCTCATCCTGTCCTCACTCTCACAGTAACGCTCCTCCACCTCAGCAGCCTCCTCCACAGGGCGACTATGTGATCCCGCACCCCGTCCTCCCGTTCCACACCCCACTGCCCACTCATGCCCCGGGCCACACAGTGCCCACTGCTCCTCCACCGTCCCTGCCCTCCCATCATCTGCCAGGCTCCAGTGCCCCTCTGCCTCAGCATCTTCCCCCTGAGCACCAGGCACTGCAGCACCACCTGCCCGTTCTGGGCCCAAACTCTGTACAGAGGCTCCACCACCACGACCTGCTGCAGCGGATGGAGGTGCAGAGACGCAGAATGATGCAGCACCCAACGTGAGTTGCATTTGTTATTTTTATTTATTTTTTATTACAAGGTGTCCACAAAGTCTTAAAATCTTTAAAAAAAATTCACTGAAATACTGAGTTGTATGTCTTAAATCATTTTAAACAGATCTTAATTTTTCTATGTCCAGGTAAAGCTACCCTATCGAGCTGACACCAAATCACCAATAATCCATCTCAAAACTTTTTATTGCAAAGTGGTGCAATTCAAAACAGCTGTTAAACATTTTACAGCAAGTTTTCCAAATAAAATTCCCTAATCAGAGAAAGAAAACTAAAGCAACATACCTTTACATGATCTTTCAATAATACAAATACTGTTTACAAAAGTAACTGGTCCATTAGAAAGATCCTTAATGTTTAGCACTTTAATTTTAGGTTTAATCTAAAATTTCAATCATAATGGTCTTAAAGTCGTGAATTTGACCCGAAGACATCTGCAAAAATCATGTATTTATGTGTCACATAATGAAGCAACAATTCAGTTTACATTTATTTTCAATAACAGTACGTAGTATATTGCTGAATGCATTCTTGCGCTGGTTTATTCTTGACTAGTTTTAGTCTGTCATTTATGAAAAAATTGGACTCGACGACAACATTAGGTGACAGCAAGTCCCTGTCTTAATGAGTAAATAAATCAAATCATTCATTAAAAAAACATTTCTTTTTTTAGATGAAAGACTCATTTAAAAGCAAATTTGACTAACTTTTTCTTTATTAATGGATCATTGACTCAATTGATTCTTTCAAAAATGGGTTAATTGAGTATGAAATGCAAAATAAACGGAATAAACCAGACAACATTGTTGAATAAAGTTGTTGAATAAACTGTTTTATAAAATCAATATCACATTTGTGAAAACTGCATGCTTGCCTGTGTGGTATTATTAACTTTCATATCTTATAAAAAATTAAAACGTATAGATATTCTTTCGTAACTTCAATTGTAAGAGCATCGTAATTGTGTTTTTATAGGCGTCATGGTGCAGTTAACTCGCAAGGCCTATTTTATGTTAGGCTGTTCCACTTTCAAGTGACTAAAAGTCTATAACAGGGGTCACCAATCTCGGTACTGAAGGGCTGGTGTCCCTGCAGGGTTTAGCTTGCCTCAACACACCTGCCTGGGTGTTTCAAGTATACCTAGTAAGACTTTAATTAGCTAGTTCAGTTGTGTTTGATTAGGCTTGGAGCTAAAATCTGCTGGACACCGGCCCTCCAGGAACAAGTTCGGTGACCCCTGGTCTATAATGTTAGCTTGAAAGTGTAAAAATAAAACGTTATGATTTTTTTATTGATTATTATGAATATTATTTTTATATTTGAACATTATACATTTCACACACAGTTATAGTACACTGCTTCAAAGGTTATGGGTTGGTAAGAATTTATGAACATGACTAAAATTTTGCATTCTCAATTTATTTATGAGCAAATACATCACTGTATTCCAGTGATGGCAAAGCTGAATTTTCAGCACTCATTTAGTGGAATTTCATTATAATTTTTTTTTTTTCATGTTTTAAATTTGTACTTCATATGTTATGAATAAATGTTATGACCTCTCTTATTCTTAAAGCCTTCAGAACTTCTATAAAAAATTTATCAGTAAAATGTTTTGTGTTGATGCCTTTGCAAAAGCTGTTTTGCTTTAGTCTTTTTCTGTAACAAATTTTATTCTTTCTTCTTTAAGGCGAGCACACGAGAGACCCCCACCACACCCCCATAGAATGCACCCTAATTACGGTCACGGACATCACATTCACGTCCCACAAACCATGTCATCCCTCCCTCGACAGTCTGACCAGAGGACAACATGGTATAGTGGATTTCTCTAAATTCGTTTTGAATACTGCACACTTGAACATGAGTTTAAGAATTTAAATGAACTTTTATAATAACAGTTTTGCATTTATGATATAAAGCACATATATTATAATGTATTATAAACTAATATTCAGTTATGAAATAAGGTTTTTGTTTTACACTACTTAACCTGCTCAAGCTGTGAATGTGTTGTTCTTAAGTTTGAAATGACAGAGTAGAGTCAACTTTGCTATCACATCAACTTTGCTATCACAGACTAATAATAATAGAAAACCGCTAATTTAAAACCCCATTAGATGTTCCTCAGGGAGCTTGTGGTAAATTAGCTTTCCTGTTTGGCCTACAGATTCACATCACCAATGAACATCTCAATATAATCGGGATCTGTTAGTCATGATGTTGCTGTTTCAAGCATTATGTTGTACAGTTGCTGTGTTTGAACATGCTGGTTGTTGGCGTTACTGCAATTTCAGGGAGCTGGGCATCGAGGCTGGCGTTACTGTTGCTCCCTACCCTTCAGGACACCTGCACCCGCATCTGCCTCATTATCACCCTCCACCCAGACTGCACCATTTCCCTATCCAGCTGATGGTGAGTCCCCCGCTCACCTCCATCAGCTCAAATATATGCATACATTAGCATGAATAAAAAAGCCCTGATATGCTCTCAGGTATGGCACAGATTAATGGCGTAAGCCCCGAGCCGTGTATCCGCAGCATCTGTTATTTCAGGGTGATTTGTACACGGCCATGAATTATGCATCACAAGTAATAATGGAAGCTCATTAGACATTTGAAGTGTGAAATCTGAATTTGATATATTTGAAAGTCTAAAATTATGTTTGAGTCGTATGGAGTGACATGCACACACAGGCATGTGAATGATTCGGGGTAAAATGATTGCAGTTTCTTTTCACTCTGATTCTCTAGCCCACTTTATACCATCACTGATTTTTATGTCTCTGTTTTTCTCAGCACACTGGCTCAATGCCTGAGGTGACATATCCACATATCCGCTATATCTCCTCCAGAATGACCTTTGGTCGCACATATGAGGTAAGAACTAGAATGTAGACCAAAATCTAAAGACGCATACAAGAACAGAACACTGTTTTCCCTTAAGAATGCATGCAAAAATGTTAATATATGGTGCATGTTTGCATGTGGTATAGCATATATATATATAGTGGATATATTTACTTAACAATAAAATGACACAATTATTAAAAAAAGTGATCATAATGAATTGATTTAAATCTATTTTAAATGAGAAAACACTTCTTATTGACAAATGAGTGAATTGTTAAACTATATTTAAGTAGTATTTTGCTGCTGCACTGTTATCTTTAAATAAAAATGGTAACACTTTTACACAATATGAATCGTTCGTTAAGCATTAGCAAATGTTAATTCATTATCTGTTAAGCATTAACTCTAGAGTAACAGATAAGTTAGTAAGCAGTTTATAACTGCAAAAACAAATGCTCTATTCTTGACTCTTAAACACATTTGTAATGTGCACAACAACTGTATTTTCATACTTTGTTAATTATTGTTTTTTCATTACTAAATAAAGTATTGCATCATTTACAAACCAGTTATTTAAGCATAGCTGGTGTTTTTTATAGATTATTCAGAATGCATAAGTAAATGATTGATAACTTATCAAATTAACATTTGTATATCTTAATATTTAGGCATATATTAATAGTTAATTTGTATGTTAATAAATGCTTTATTACCTTAACTTCATCCAGTTTTGACCTAATTTGAAGTGAGGACTATTAAGGCTTTATAAATCCTTTATAAACAACAATTAAAGGCTCAGTTAAATTCTAAACAGGAAAAAAGAGAAAATAAACAACTTTATTTATTTAAAGATACACAAATACAAAAAAAAATTAAAAATCATTTTGCAATCTTAAATAAAATATAATTACTGTACAGTTTAATCATCACTAAGTAACATTGAAATGTTGCACTATATTATATTGTTAAATTATTATATTGTTGTTTTATTCAATTATTTTATATTTAGACACTCCTGTTATTTGGCAATTTTTAAACTTTACAGTAATTTTATTTTTTATATAAGATTGCAAGATGTATTGTTAATTTGATACTGAACCTTTAATTGTCATTTATTTGGAATTTATAAAGCATAAATAGTCCTCACTTTTGGCCACAAAACTGGATGAAGTTAATACAGCATTTTTTAACATACAAATTAACTAATAGTATTTGCCTCAATAATAAGTTATAAATGTTGATTTGAATAGTTTATTCATCATTTACTTACTCATTTTGAATTATCTAAAAAAATACTCTTAAATACAAATGATTTGTAAATAATGTGATACATAATTTAGACATGAAAAATTTATCTGTAACAAAGTATGAAAGTACAATTATTAAGTCAAGAATAGAGCATTTGTAGCTGTATTTATAAACTGCTTAGTTGTGTCTATTAATGTAGAGTAAATTCTTAAGAAATAATTAATTCACTATTTACTAATGCTTAATAGATGATTCATAGTGTGTAGCATATTATAAAGTGTTACCATAACATCTATTAACATATCATTAAATTATTTTTCATGTAAATATTGGACTGACAAGATTGTTTTGGTGTCTAAAATATTGTTACACAGAATTAAATGTTATGTTTTTTTTTTTTTTTTTTTGTAAAACGTCGTAAAATGAGTTTTTATTTCAATAATTTTGTTTGCATGTGAAAACCAATTTTTTTTTTTTTTTTTTTTTTGGCTCTGTGCACTGAGCAAAGTTTGTTATTGCTTTCAGTATCATTTTTAAATTTCCCCATCCTTCAATAAAACAGCTTCCTTGTGCAATCTTCATTACACCACACAGATTTACAGAACAATCCACTCTGCACAGACTGTTAAAAATAAAAAAATCATCCTTAAAACAAACCTGCTCATAATGGAGGGATGAGATTTTTCAAACATGACCCATTTAAAAGCTTTTATAACCAGTATTGTCTGTTTGTGTTATTTTTGTTTTTTAAATCAGGATCTGCTGCATTTAGAAGAGCGACTGGGGACTGTGAACCGAGGGGCCTCTCAGGGAACCATAGAGAGGTGCACCTACCCACACAAATACAAGAAGGTGAGAACACGTTCACTTACACATATCAGGGGCTCAAAATAAAGTAATGGACATAAAAGACTCTGAGGATATAATATAGGGGCTTCCTGTTAGAGACACAAACAAATTATCAACCAGGAGCCATAAAACCAGTTCTGTTGTGTCCTAAGACGCATCACAAAAATCCTCACCCAGTCCTTTTATTGCCAAAAGCGGCATAGCGTAGACGTTTGAAATGTCACTAATGTCTAGGCAAAGGTTCCATACAGATGACAGAATGCATTCTATTATTCTGACTATCAGTAATGTAAAGTAATCTAAAACCCTGCCGCCCTGATACAGAAGGTGGTGGAGAGAGACACTGAGGAACAGTTAGCACCTGAAGCATGGGCATCTGTTGGGAAAAAAATGCACTCAACCTCAAACTCGGTGAGAAAAAATGTGAACAAATAGTTTGGGAAAACATGTTGTAGCTCTCATATTGTGTAGATGTTAACAGGGGCAGGGATAGTCGACAAATGGCCTAGTTGATGTAGTCGAGGAGCACATTGTCAGCAAATGTGTCTGCTTTTTTGATTAATAGTATGTTATGTGGAAGTTTAGGTTGTGTTCTTGCTTGACGTCTTCTTGGCTGTTTATAATAATAAAGACTGTTGATTTGTTAATTTGTGGATATTACATTTTATTCAATTGAAAACATTGTTATATTTGGGGGAAGAAGACGTAATATGTGTGCTACTGTTTACATGTTCATGGAGATTGGCGTGCAATGAAACCACTCATAATGGCTGTTCTGCTTCTTTCTTATGCACAGAGAAAGCTGCATGGTAAGCAGGAGGAAGAGGAGGGGGCAGAGGAAGACACGGAGGAGAAATGCACCATCTGTTTGTCTATACTGGAAGAAGGGGAGGATGTCAGGTAAATCTTTAAAAAAAACTGTGGTTTACACCGTATTCTAAGCAGCTGTAGAGAACGATGAGGGTGTTTGAGAGTAATCAATTCATTAAATGGATTAGTATGTAATTCATAACTTTTTAAATTTATATAACATTTTATAATATACAGGTTTCATAGTCATGGAAAACCTGAAAAGTTCATAGAATTTTGACATGGAATTTTCCAGGCCTGGAAAAGTTTGCACGCCAATCCCCATGAACATGTTTTGGAAAAACAGAAAAACCCACAAAGTTTTGGAAAAGTCATGGAAAACAGATTCTTTATACTTGAATATAGGTTATTTACTTCTTTACTGTCCTTGGCCAATCACATCCTCTCACATTATTAGTGTGGTGTAAGCATTATCTAAATCAATTTTACATAGATATAAATATAAATTGAAACTAAATAGATTGTTGTGTGTTTTACGAGATGCTGTAATTAATTTGAACATGCATTGTTTTTCTTTTACCACGCATATGTAGACTGTGCATGAAACATTAGGTCATGAAAATGGACTTGAAAGTCTTGGAAAAAGCGTGGAGATTTAGTAGTAAAAATGTGTAAGAACTCTGAATATAATAATATATAATTTTGTAAATAATAAATGGTTGTAGGTATTAAATAATAATTTCCCTTTTTAAAACAGTTTATTGATTTTCTCTAACTGCAAGAGTCGGCTGATTTAATGGGGTTTGAGCTTCTCACACTGCTAGTTCGGTTTGTAAGTGTTGTTTTTTAGTGATCTATAAATAATATAAACTCTATAAACATCTGTTTAATTTACTGAGCACCAATATTAAATGATCACAATAGAGCAACGAAACAGCACATTATGATGATTTCTGATGGACAATGTCTGGAGTAATGACGCTATAAGTTTTGAATCACAGGACTAAATAACATTTCAAAAATATGCTCTAACGGCAAATAAAAGAAATAAAATTCACAAGAGCACACAACAAACTATGGTGGCATGATGCTCATTCAAAACGACAGTCTCGTTCATTTTTCCAGTCTCTCCTGGAGTCAAATGTTTCTTAAGACAAGAAAATTACATAAAATATGTTAAAAAAACAAAATTGTATTGTACACTGCAGTACGGGAGAATTGAAGTAAAAAATGCCATAGGTTTTCTGAAAAGCCATCCCTAAATCAGACATGTAGGTCCTAAATCTAAAATGTCCCTGTAAGATCCCGGAGGGACTGTAATTTAATGCATTTAATATAAACAATTGATTTTCATGAGTGAATAGTTTATGTACTCTGCTGCCCTCTGGAGTTGAAAGGTGTGAATTACTTTGTGCTTGTTACAAATTCAGGGGTTTCCTCTATCTATACCAGAGATGACCAAACTAGGGCCCTGGTAACCTTTGATTTAGTCGGCATCCCCTCTGAGAAAAGAGAGACAATGATGGGAGGGTTTCAAGATTGTAAATTCAAATTTAATGTAATTTTTTGTTTGTTTTTTTTCTTAAGAGCTAGCTGAAATTAACAATTATTAAAAGGGTGTAAATTGGTCAGATTTTGTTTAAATCTATATACTGTCACCCGACAATGCAACGACTTTGGTGAGCAAATTAAGTCAAAGTCAGATTTCGCTTGACTATCATATTCAGCATTGAACTTGACTGTTATAAATGTGATTGTTTTATTGCAGTAAGGTGTCGTGTAAAAAGTAATACTGCATTAGTTAATATTGTTCAGAGTAATGGTTTCTATTTATTTTGAAATATTAGGAAATGAACAAGGAAATTATCCACTGCAATTTTAATGGAATATAGTTTCGTATGTTTACCTTTGGCCCATGGTTTGCAATGATATTAGAGTTTTGGGCCATCATACAAAAAAGTTTGAACACCCCTGATCTATACAGATGAAATTTCTTTGCCTTGAACATTGGTGTGTTCTATTCTGAAAGTCCTGTTTGTTTCTTTTGCAGGCGCCTTCCATGTATGCACCTCTTCCATCAACTGTGTGTAGACCAATGGCTCCTCACTAATAAAAAATGCCCCATCTGCAGAGTGGACATCGAGGCTCAGTTATCTTCAGAGAGTTGATGCTATTTTTCTTGCTACCTTTTTGTTGGACATTATTTTGTTCTTTTCCTTTTCGTCAGTAACGCATTCAACCAAAGATGGCATGAAATACCTGCGCAACTATGGGAAAAAAGAAACAAAACAACAATCCACACACACACAGACACACACAAAAGCATCAAGCCTAGCGTGCCAGCTATCATGTAGTACCAGTACAGCTAGAAATAACATCTTCATTAAGGGTTTTGAATTGTAATGTATTTATAAAGGGTTTATGTAGCTTTTGTTTTCATAAGTGTCATTGTATTTTATTTTTTTGCATGGTTCCTTGCAATGCATTTCTTTGCACATTTAATGAACTAGGCCTCATACGGCCTGAGAACTTGCAGGCGAGGATTGCTGCTCTGGTAAAGAAGCATTTTTACATACCTGATGCCTTGCTTTACTGGAATAGAATGTCAACCTCCATTTTAAAACATTGCAGGACTCAGTTTATTGATCAGTATATTGATTAGTTTTATGTTTTAGACAATTGTGATCTGATTTTTTTTTTTAAAGTGAATCAAGACATTCCTTAATTAGGAAACAAGATCATGGTTAAGAAGATCAGCTGCTGTAACAGTGTTCACCCTCACGCCAATTCACTCACCACACGGGAACCTGGGCTGGAGTCCATTGCATTTCACTTTGGCTCGTTTACCAGCGCTAACTCGATTGAGGGAGTTAGCGTGAAAGCATTCAGAGATGCGCCTTGTACATTTACTCTTAAATTTATATGCATTAGATCCTGAACCAACGGAACAGAAATGAATTCAACTCCAGCCCTGATGAGAACCAACTGCACACTTCACCTCTTGAACGTTCGCACGGTTGCGTTCCATCAGTCCCCTCTCAGCACCTCAATCTGCCGTCACATGTAACGCACTTCACCTGATGTATTTTCAAAGAGAAAGAAAAAAATGAATGTCACCTACCTGTATTCTGATTGATTGTTGTTTTTATTCTATGATGAAGTCGGATTCTCGATCGAGTGTAATTTCTCAGATGAGCTCGATTTGTTGACTTGGTTCGGTGAGAATGACAGGCCTATAGAAACAGCCACCGCAAAACATGGAGTGCTGGGATTATTTATTTTTTCATCAGGGTCTCCTAGCCTACTTCATTTAACTCTCTTTCTCTCTCAGCAACCTAAAAAGTGACTCTTGTTAGCTGATTATTTCCTCTCGGATATTGCCATTAACATGCATTTGTTTTTTGCGACTGTGCAGCAAACTGTTTTCCCCTTTTCTTTGCTTAATTTTTGTTTCTTCTTCTTTTGCTGCTGTGAAATCCTAACACTAATATTAATCTCAACTAGCTAACTTGCATATACTTGCACATGAGAGACAAAAGACAGGAGTGCTGTGAGAATGAGAGTGTGCTGAGGCCGTGTATTTCCACTCTGATTGCTGAGTTTTGAGGAAAAACTGTAATAATTTTGAATGGAGTGTTGGAATGCAGTACTTAATGGCAGGCGTCCATGCATTCATAGATTTAATGGCCCCAGGATGATATTCCATGGGATTTATATTAGTTTTAAAATAATGAAATTAATAAAGTTAGGTAACTCTTTTATGTGTCCATTCTTTTGCCTTCTTCTGCTTCACAGATTTACCAAGGTAATTATGATTTAACTTTGGTAACATAGAAACTGTACGAACGTCATGCAAATGATCTGTGTACTATACAAACCTGCATTCTCTCACGTAGAGCAGTTTTTTAGACTGCAGTTTTCAGAACACACCTATATGCGGATGCTAATGTAAAATCTATTTAAACAACATTCATTTTTACTTGGTTATTGAAAAAGTTTTCTACTAATTATTACTTGCAGCCTACTGAACGAGAATACCTTTGCTGTATATGTAGACAATGAAAAGTGTTGTGGTTGTTTTAACAGAGTTTTTGTGCATAATTAATACTAGATCTGTACTAAAAAAGAATAGAAAACACATTCCCAAATAATGTTTAACAGAGCAAGTACATTTTCACTGTATGTCTGATAATATTTTTTCTTCTGGGGAATGTCTTATTTGTTTCATTTTGGCTAGAATAAAAGCAGCGTTACATTATTAGTCCCTTTAAGGAATATTCTATTTTGATAGTCTACAGAACAAACCATTTTTATACAATAACATTTTTATTACCCTAACCTATCTAGTTAAGCCTTTGAATGTCACTTTAAGCTGTGTAGAAGTGTTTTGATAAATATGCAGTCAAATATTATTTACTGTTATGGCAAAGATAAAAAAAGAGTTATTAAAACTTTTATGTTTAGAAATGTGTTGGAAAAAAAATCTGCTTTCCGTTAAACAGATATAGGAGGATAAAATTAACGGGGATAATTTAAGGGGGTTAATAATTCTGACTTCAACTGTATATGCAAAAAATATAAAATTGCATAGCTTCCTATTACAAATATGAATTTAAATGATAGATTTGTGAGGGGTGTACATATGTGCAGAGCACTGTATATGTATGATCAGAAATATATGGAGGTTAATCGTCAACAAGTGTACTTAAAGGGTTAAAAGCATTTTCCTAGCTTTTTATTTAAAGGATATTTTTCGTAAGCAATACATTTTATCTAAGCGTCTTAGATATTAAATGGGAAACAAATGTCGGTGATATTTATAACGTCATGCGCTTTTACCACCACTAACAAAATGACGTTTTTAACGTTAACAACACATGGTAGTTGTTAGTTGGAGTTGGTACTGTTAGTTGGAGTGTGTCGCTGTCGAGCTCTTCGCCTCGCACACAGATTTAGTTACACAGGTAAAATGGCGTCGGGGGCCATTTCAGCGGAGACTAAGAAGATTACAGATTTACGTGTTGTGGACCTCAAATCAGAGCTCAAACGAAGAAATTTGGATGTGAGCGGGGTGAAAAACACACTGATCGCAAGACTGAAGCAGGTATTTTTAATTTAAAACAGCTTGCCAAAAGAGCATCGAGAGAAACGTTCGCGAGCTATCTGTATGGCTAACGAGTTAGCATAGCCAGGTTGTATCCACTAATATGACTGAAACCCTGTTTTAATGCGTTTAATAAGAACATTACTTTATTGGCAAATGTTTGACACCAGCCACTACATGATTTTGGTGAATTATATAATTGCAGTTTCTAATGCTAACGTGACGTTAACAATAAACGTTAATGAATCAGGCCAACTTCTGTTAGCAAGCGAACGCTGCTAACGCTACACGGGCTCATATTATTAACTTGGCTATTTGAAACCTTTTCACTTTTATTAACAGTTATTGTTCATTGTGATTTAGAAATTTTGAGTCAATTGTAACAATTGTTTTTGATATCTTATGTAACATTGTTAAAATACAAGTGCGAACTACGTCGATGCAAATCGGCACTGGAATTTAAAGGTCTATGAAAGTTCATTGTTCAGAGCTTTATTTTCACTGAAAGCTAGTCCTTAATGTAGTTTAATCTATTAAAACATGCTTTTGCATATGCATGTTATGTGTTTAACGGAGGCAGTTTTATTCTTTTTCTGCAAAATAGTTGCAGTGTGAGCTCAATTTGAGCTTTCATTGATCATAGATTGCTGTAATCAGGGATCTTGTGTTCATGTGTGCAGGCCATAGAAGATGAAGGTGGTGATCCAGACAACATTGAGATCACCATGTCAGCTGACACACCCACCAGAAAATACGGCAAGTCTAAAGGTAAATCTTTATTCTCTGAACTAAACTCATTTACTTCACGTTTGGTTTTCGTAAACTTACTGTATACCTTTATTATGCCTTACCAGGAAAAAAGACAGAGCTGGACACTGATACCACCATGGAGGAGGAGTCCTTCTCTAAGGTATGGAGAGGATTTTTTGCAGCATGTTGGGATCACTAATTTAACAAAAATTTTGTTAGGCCGATATAATTCTTTACAAGAGACTTGTTATTCCCTGTTGCGAGATGTAAACTCTCTGATGTCCCTGTGTGTGAAGCACAAAATACCACACAAAAATGTTTTACAACCATTTGAAACTAGCCCTTTTAGGCTTTGATCCAAATTGGGTCGTTTTGGTGACTGTAGCTTTGAATTTAAATGAGACATGTGCTCCTTTCAAAAGAGGGGCAAGTTACAAACACCCATGCATCACCATAGAGTGGAGGAACTATGACCTCACCTTGTAGGCTAATCGGCTGCTAGCATAAAACTGGTTCCCTCAATAAAATCCCTATAGGCTTTTCGATGATTGCAAATAATAAGCTCTGCGTTCAAACGCTGTTCATTATGCTTACACATTTTGTCCAACCAGATAGTCCTCACACGAAAATATAACTTTGTTCATTTGGATCTTGAATGCAAAGACAAGAATTAAAAAGCTTAATTAGGCTATAAATGGACTACAGTGCCTTCGGGGCGCTCGCCTGTGACGTCAGCACCACCCTGCTACAGACAACTTTTCAAACTTATTTTTAGAAATATGGTTCATGACAAAGAGTTCATCTCTCTGTTTATTATATTATAATCCACACTATATATTATAAACAAATAAATACGCAAAAACACATCTGTATAGACCCATGCGCCTTTTGGATATTTTTTACGTTGGCAATACATTTTGTTTTGCTTTATGGTTGTTAACTCCGTGTATAAATGTGCCTACATGGTATTATCATAAGACATATTTTATAAAAAGTGTATCGCTCGCGTGCATACAGCCCGCTTACCTTAAGAATAGACGACAGTGAGGCGTAAGAAGTTTTATTATGGACAAAGAACAACATTCAATATTGTTTTTTGTCACAAATTACAGCGAAAAGTAGCCCAACAGTCTCATTATGCTATAAATGAGATCTGAGATCTTACATTGTGACATAGGAGCCATGTTCGTGCGGTCTGACATGCAACAATTGTTGAGGATTATAAAAAAATCACACAGTGTGAGCGGGCCTGAAGTCTGCATGTCCATTAATCCTTTATCTGTTCAGTAATATTGCAAGAAAGAATATCACAGCAGTTTTCATAATTCACAAACCATTTTGTTTTGGCTTTTAGTCTTTTTTTTTTTTTTTTTTTACCTTTATTCATATATTTATTTATTTATTTTTTTTTTTCAGTTTTTAATCCTGTTTTAATGTTTTAAAATAAATATTTAAATGCAGTGCTTGGCATATATAAGTACATCCTCACAAATCTTTCTTTTAAATTCATATTTGTAATAGGAATCTATACAATAATATATTTGTGCATATACATTAGATTAGATTAGTCAGTACTGAAGCCAAATCTGGAGCTCACAAAATAACTTGCAATAACGGTCCAAAATCTAGTACACCCAAATTTATATGTTAGAAAACTATTAAATACAAATTTTAAAAAGACGAAAAATCAAGAGAAGCAAAACAATGGAAAAAATTTGTTTACATTTTGTAGGTTGTAATTGTCTTTTTTGCAATATTTTGCTTGAATATAATTGTATTATCTTTCAATTTCTAAATATGTTTGGTGACTAAAACATTATTTTAATAAATATATCTGTTTAATAAATCTGTTTTGTTCAAATGCACCAAAATACATTGCCTATATTCGCTGAGAAATGGATAAAAATATGCATTTTCAAAATGGGGTGTACTCCATTATGCTGAGTACTGTATACTCCCACATATGGACTGACTGTTCATATGTGCAGCATGCAGATGCACCATAAACATGTTTTTCATTAGATATGCAGAAAAAGAGAATGTGAGTTACTCATGCATCAGATAATTAGTACGCTGCATGTAAATCATATTCTTTGAACAGTGGCGATTCAAAGCTCAGCAGTGGACCTGCAGATTTACTTCAGCAACTCAGTTCGAGTGATCACAGACAATATTCAGAAGCCTGACAGATTATTAGCACCAATTGTTCTTTTTATTTTTAAATTACCTAAAATGTGTCAAGTATCACTCGTTCACATTTTCTCGGCTTAGTTCATTTATTGTGAGGAGTTGCACCAGCAGAGTGAACTGCTGTTTCTGGTGGAATCTTTTTGTCATAAAATGTCTTCAAGCAGTAGTTTTTATTTCAGTTTGAAGTATTCACCAAATTTCTTAATTATAAATAATAAGTTCATTCATTCATTTTCTTGTCGGCTTAGTCCCTTTATTAATCCGGGGTCGCCACAGCGGAATGATCCGCCAACTTATCCAGCAAGTTTTTATGCAGCGGATGGTAGGGGTGTAACGATACACTCAGCTCACGATACGATGTGTATCACGATATAATGTTCACGATTTGATATGTATCAAGATATTTGGAATAAAAATTGAAAATTAAACTGAAATGCAAATTTTACCAAGTAAACTATTTTTTATGTATTTATTTTGTTTCAACTTGTTAAACTGAACCTTCTTTAAGAAAATAAATTAAACAGGCCTGTCTCTGGAAAATAAAACAATTTAAAAACTTCTTAAAAATATTATTGAAATGACAGAGACAAAATTAAGGAACAATTTAAGTAAAGGTGCAAAAAAACAAGCTTTCTATTTAATTGAATTTAACAGTAAGAGCTTAAGGCTTTGCTTTGTCACTTGTGTTTTTTGTGTGTGCAAAAAAATCCACATT